TTCGTGATTTTTAATGAGCTTTGGCTCAGACCTCTCTCCAGATGTCTATTTACTGGCTCACCAACAGCTGCCAGAGAGATTAAAAAAAACAGCTGATTTATTTGTTTTCTTTCAATTTAATGCACCAGTTTCTGGAGCCTCAACACTCATTTCTGGAAAGCTGTGGGGCTTCCCTGGTCTGAGGAAACAGAAAAGTTAATATCTCTGTGAAGGAGGGGAGAGGATTATCATTTGAAGTATGCACTCATTCATTCTTTCTATCAGTGTGTACAGAGTGCTGTCGTGTGCCAAGCACCACACTGGGAACTGGAGGGACAAATGGCAGTACCTGGAATCTTTTCTATTGCTGTCTCAGCTCTCCTCTGTAATGTAGGTAATATCATCTCCCCCAATTTTTCAGATTAATAAAATTGAGACTCAGAGAATTCATCACATGCTCAGATCACAGGATCAGCCAATTGGGGCACCCTGGGTGGGGAGGAAGCTGAAGAGCAAGGCTGCTTTATCTATTGTCTCTGTTCCTACAAATCTGTACAATGAGGCACTTGGTTAAAGATCCTACAGGGAATGGTTACTTGTGATGTGAAGGATTAACCAGGGTTAATCCTATTAACCTGGGTCTGCCAGGTTAGCCCAACCTGACGTCATGGGTCTCTCCTCCACACATTCCTAGGATAGCTAAAGAAAGGACTCTAAATGTCCTCCTCCTGGACAACTGTCCTTTGGAAAAGCATCTCTATCTTCTTTATTAAAAATTACCGTCTTTAGCCAGGCACCAGTGGCTCATGACTGTAATCCTAGCTATTCAGGAGGCAGAGATCAGGAGGATGGTGGTTCGAAGCCACCAGGCAAAATAGTTTGAGATACCCTATCTTAAAAACCCATCACAGAAAATGACTGCTGGAGTGGCTCAAGGTATAGCCCTGAGTTCAAACCCCAGTACCGCATAATAATAACAATAATAATAATAATAATAATAATAATTACCATCTTTTCATTGGCCCTTATTGCAGGCACAGCTCTTGTTGCTGGGGATGCAATGGGGGTAAGAAAAATGAGAGAGATGGAGAAGATGACTTGGACCCACGGGTCCACTTCTCAGGATTACTGGGATCCCTGAGGAAAGACCCCATCCCACCAACTCCGTACCCACCCCAGAGGTCAGGGGTCAGCATGCCCTCCCCCACAAGGGTACCAGGTATCCTTTTCAGGGACACATCCTGTATCCTGGAGACTATTGGTTCTGGAGGGAGGGGTCAGTTTCCAAAGGACTTCCTTTTTAAAAATTTTTTTAATTAGGATATATTCCGTGAAGGGGGGGTTGATGCATTGTGACTTACATTGTACATTGGTTAGATCGCCCCCACCATCTCTCCCTCTCAACCCCTTTCCCACTCCACTACAAGCAATTGCTAGAGGTTTCATTGATCTATTTCATATAAGTATATGAAGTCCACCAACAATATTCCCTCACCTTAATCTCCTTCATTCACCCTCCTCCCCCCACAAATAACTTCCCCACAGATACTGTACCTATTTTACAGTTCTTTTTTTCCTTATTAATTTCTAAGTCCATTTGACTTAGAAATTAAAGGGATTTCTCAATGTATCCCCTCTCTGAGTATACCTTACTTTGGTCCATTCAACCCCTTTTATTACTCCCCTTTACCTCTTCCTAACCCTTTCTACCTTTACCCCGCATTTTTCAACAGCTTTCAATACATCTTTATATCCGCTACCTTCACAGATACAATGTTTTACCATGTTGCTGATGCTCTATCTTTCTCTTTTCCTTTCCCTCCTTCCCCGAGTTCCATAGAGCAGTTCCACCATCACAAATATGTTCTACATATGAGTTTGTATATTATCATGCTTGTTTTGTGCATGTTTGTCTTTTGGATCTATCTTCCACATATGAGAGAAAACATGTGGCCTTTGTCTTTCTGAACCTGGCTTACTTCACGTAACATGATGTCCTCCAATTGCATCCATTTACCTTCAAGCCATATGGTGTCATTCTTCCTTATGGCTGAGTAAAACTCCATTTTGTGTGTGTGTGTGTGTGTGTGTGTATCACATTTTCTTGAAACAGTCATCAGTTGTAGGGCATCCGGGTTCTTTCCATACTAGGTATTGTGGACAGTGCTGCAATGAACATGGGTGGCAAGTATCTCAATTGTATCCTGACTTATGTTCAAAGGACTTCCTTCTAAATGCACAGCCCAGAAAGTCTGTGCCTCCCTGAGCTGGAGCTCCATTCCCCTGAAAAGAGGATGCTCAGTTACTGGGATATGTGGAAGGAACAGGAGAGATAAACAAGAGCCCTGAGTCATGGGGATGGGACATAAGTGGCTCCTCTGTTTTCCTGGAGTGCAGGCCCTTCCATCCAGCTCCCTATCCCTGGGATCCGAAGGTTGAAATGAGGCTCACATGTAAAGCCCAGCTGCTCTGCCTGGCCCTACCATGGATGCTTTTAAAAACCAGGACAGCAGCAAAAGAGGCCAAGCATGCAGAAGGGCACAGCCCCACCCAAAGGTCCCTTGGTAGCTGAGGGATGACCTCTTCACAGAGTAGAAAGTGATGATGCCATGATTCAGTTCCAAGTCTGAAATGAAGGAAGCATTAAGAGTCGCACACCAGCCCCAGAAGGCAGCCAGTTTGAGCTGAGCTGTGCTTGGAACAGAGGGCAGCACCCGGCTCTACTTCATCTTCTGCCAGATACATGCATTTTTCATGATCCACTGACTTCCCGCCGGAGGCTCTTGCATTGAGATGGAGTGGGTCTCCAGCCACCCTCCTGAAGTTCACATTTAGGATTTAAATGAGCTCAGTTCATCTCCCCATGTCCCTCCAGGCCAGCTAGCTTTTGTATCCTCACATGACCCCAGGAGCTTTGAGCATTCCCTTGGTTTTTTCATAAGAGAAAAGTAGAAGGGAAGATCACTCTGCTGTGTGAAGAATGCACTAGCAGGCCCTAAAAGAAAGCAGAGACCCCCAACTTGATTTGCTGTCAGTAGTCTACATGAAAGGAGATAGTCTGGATTTACGTGGGCCAAGTTGCATTGGCAATGATAAGAAGTGATTAAATTCAGTGGGGCCAACAGGGCTTGTTAATGGATTGAATTTGGGGGTAGGGAAAGAGGAGATTCAAAGACAGCATCCAAATTTCTGATGTAAGTAACCAAGTGGATGGTGCTGCCCTTTCCTGAAATGGGGAAGACCAAGGGGGGGCTTGGTTTGCACGGATGGCAGAGGGTCAGGAGTTAGATTTATCAAGTTTGAAATTTCTGGAGCACATGGATTGGTAGAATCAACATAGTAAAAATGTCTATACTCCCAAAAGTAATCTACATGTTTAATACAATTCTCATTAAAATTCCAATGACATTCATTAAAGAGATTGAAAAATCTACCGTTAAATTTATATGGAAACACAAGAGGCCACGAATAGCCAAGGCAATACT